AAGCTGTTAGTTTCCTTTGTGTGTGACCTAGGCCTCAAGGTTTTATGTGCGTGGGCCTCCTCCCTCACTTACTCTGTACCAGGCACCGTCCTAAGAGATTTACATGTAGTAATTCCTTTAATCCTTATAACAACCCTATGAGGGAAGTACTATTTTCATCCTGACTTTTTAGATGGAGAAACTGAGGCACAGAGTAGCTAAGTAACTTGTGCCAAAAGACACAGCTAGTAAATGGCAGAACTGGGATTCAAACGCACACTCTGGCTCCATTGTCTGGGCCTTTCACCTCTTGTGGAAGGGCCCTGTTTGGCAGACAGGGGCCTCATGGCATGATTTCCAAACCTTTGATGAAGGTTGAGGCCAGTCAAGTTTTCAAGAGAAATGTTGGGCATCTTTGTAACGATGTGTAACGATTTTATATGTTATGGTAATGCTTTCCTACTCAACCCAAAGCCAGGATATTATAATCAAAATAATCTAGAGGTTCTGAGGTTTGTTTTTCTTTTCTCTCTAATTGTGAGTAGCAAGTCACTGGCAGAAGTCTGCTAGTATATCCTTATTTCGGGCTGAAACCAACAAGAATCGGGGGTCTATATCTCTCATCTAATGCTGTTGCTGTTAAGTGCTGGTTCCAACTCATAGCCACCCTATGCAGGGTTTCCCAGGAACGGCTAGTGGTTTTGGTTTTGAAATGCTTACCTTGCGGTTAGCAATCTAGTGCTTTTTCCACAGCATCACATAAATACTGACAGTCATGAAGGACCTGTGTCCCTCAGTGAGCTTCTCATGGCAGCCAAGATAATATTTTCTTTAGGTAAGAATTTCCTTAATATGTTGGCTCTGCTAGAAGAATAGTTGGATCTCAACCTCCTCATAACCTATATTAAAATGAATGTCATTGAGAACAGTCGTGGTTGGTGTGTGCCGTGAAGTCCATTCTGACTCATAGAGAACTGTATAAGGGTTTATGAGGAGCTGAAAGCCTCATCTTTCTCCAGTGGAGCGGCTGGTAGATCCAAACTTCTGACCTTACGGTTTGTAGCTCAACTTGTAACCACTACGCAAGCAGGGTTTCTTGTTGAGAACAGGGATAAATTCATCCCCTGACAAACCCTCAATAGGCTAAGGCTAAAAATCATAGATGCGTACCAACAGGATGTTTGCTTTTCTTCCTTTCCAGAATTATCTGAATAATTATTCCCCATTTAGCCACTATTTACAAAGTACTTAGCACTTTCCTCCTGTTTGGATATCCTCATTTCTCTGTGTTAACATCTTTCCACTGTTCCAATTTTCTCAAGTATCCACCAAGTTTTCCATGTCTCTAGGATTTTTACTTTAAACAACCTTCATGTCAAAGGATTCCTGGTGCACGGACTCAAGACTGGGCACTCAGAGTGCTAGCTCCTTGGGAAGGGTCCTCCTTCAATCACACAATACTCGTTGTCTTGTTTGACTTATGTAATATAACTCCAGAACTCCTGAGTTATTCACATTTGCCAGGCTCAACTGTGCAAAGGAAACTCACCAGACTCCTAACTGTTACTCCCACCAGAGTCCAGGCTGGGAAGAAAAGAAAGGTCAGCTCTTACTGGGTATGCTGAAGGAGAGGGAAATCTGCTCAGTAAGTCTGTTGAATGAGATCAAACTGGAAAGGAACCTAAGGATAAATTATTAAACCTCTCCCTTTTCCACCTTTGTTCAAGTTCTGCCTTTGCCATCTGCTTTTTTTCACACTTGAGAATTACACACATAGTATTGGCTGACATTGTAAAACAACTTCGAATTCTACAAAGAAAATGATATTAATGATATTTGATATTAAAAAAAAGTCACATACAGAAATAAATATTATCTATAGCAAGAAGCTCTTTCCTAAGACAAAAAGACCTCTAAAGTGGACCTTCCCTTTTCAGTTAGGATAATTTTAATTTTAACCTGGGAAGCTGTTTCCTCAAATATGCTGTATGTTGTTGTTATTGTTAAGTGCCATTGAGTCGGTTCCGACCCATAGCAACCTTGTAAAGGCTTCCGAGGAACAGCTGGTGGGCTTGAACCTCCAACTTTGCGGTTCAAACTGACTTTGCAGTTCAGTGCATTAACCCACAGCGCCACACCAGGACTCCAATGCTGTACGAAGTAACTCATATTATCATTTAGCTCTTTAGATAGTTCCATTGCACTTCTCATAATTGAAACTGTCAGTAGGCTTTGGATTTGAAAGCCCAATAAAGAAGAAAGAGCTCATCACCTAATGGTGGGGTATGCAAATCTCAGAAGACTGACTATGCACAGATATCTTCTATATGCAGAATGTTGGACTTCAGAAGCAGTGAAAGACAGGATTTAAGACTACAGAAACCTGCAGCTGTTGTATATAATCTTCCTCGGAGACAGAAGGAAGTTTTTTTCCCCCCTATTTAACATGTTTAGTAAAATGGAGGGTTGGAGAAGAAGAGGAAGACCCCCAACGAGATGGATTGGTACAATGGCAGCAGTAATGGGCTCAAGTGTAGCAATGATTGTGAGGTTGGTGCCAGACCCGGCAATGTTTTGTTCTGTTGTGTATAGGGTCGCTTTGAGTCGGTACTGACTCAATGGCACCTAACAGCAATAACAACAACAGCCACGTAACAGAAGAGAAGGTATTCTTGGATGGGGCAAATGGTTAATACACTTGGGGAATAGTGGAGAAGTTGGCGATTAGAAAGGCGCCTTAAAGACTGGGTATCGACTTCCAAAAGATCAGTTATTGAAATCCTTATGGCATGCAATTGTAGTCAGACACAGATGGGGCCATCATTAGTTGGAATCGACTCGTCCTAGCGTCTATTTGCATTTATCCCTTATGCCTTTCCAAAGTGAGAGTTTTTCTACTGTGGTGGTAGTGGTGGTTATGTGCTGTGGAGTCGATTCTAACTCATAGTGACCCTGTACAGGGTTTCCGAGGCTGTAAATCTTTATGGGAGCAGAGAGCCTCATCTTTCTCCCATAGAACAGCTGGTAGTTTTGAACTGCTGACCCTGAAGTTAACAGCCCGACTCTTAACCACTACACTACCGGAGCTCCTTTTTTCTATTGTAAAAGCTCTTATTGAGATCTCAACAGTTTCCACATGAAATTAGCATGTACTTCTTCAAGCAGGCAGACCAGAAGTGTGAGGAGGAAGAGTGATAATCCGCACCATTTGTGAAAGCATTTGGGTTGCTTTTATCAAGTTAAATCAACTACATGGTGGAGCTTGACTTTTGGTGTTTCTTAACATGTTCACTTGCTTTCAGTAAGTTTGGGCATGTACCTATTTACATAGAAGACATAGAGAAATAATCCCTTTGCTGGCTAAACTGGTATACAGGACTCACACTGGGATGTCACATGCCTGCTGTTTTCTAATGATGGACCCCTGGGCCAGCAGTAAACCCAACAGGAACCCTAAGGGCCAGGAAGTAGTAGCTTCTCAGTCCTCCTCTCTCTGCTCCCCCACCTCCCCAAGTGAGTGAGATATATTTTGTAAACTTGTGATAGTAAATGGGTTAGGATTGACAAAAGGCTTTCCCACTTGTCCATTAATTTCTATTTGCTAAAGGAGCTGATCCAATCTTGGTTTAGCATTGGAAAGTCAAACAGCTTATTGAACAAATCCTTGAGGATACATTTCGGCACCCATGAGTATTAATGGTATCTAAGAAACAAAGAAAGACACCACAATTTTTAATAGGGCTTTTATTTAAACCAAAATCAATGTTTATTTTCAAGGGATAGATTTCAAAGATATCAAAAGAAAGTCATGTTTAGAGCAAACAGTTTTGTTCAATTTCTAGAAAATATTCAGTTACATTTGGGGGTTGCGTGGAACCCTGTAATACGAGAAATTGCTTCACTGAAATTCAGATTTCTATATACCAAAACGAACTCAGTTTGCTTGGGGATTGGCTGAATGTTTAAAGAGCCTCTGATGAAACAGAATTCGTTAGTGGAAAGGCAAGAAGTGTACTGGTGGGTCAGACGACAGGAATAGTCAGTGCGTGAACCAAAGTAATGAGATTTTTGTAGCCTCATTCCTCCTTTGAAGCAGTTTTTAAAGTACATTGTGTTATTTTGGTGACTGGTGCAGGTCTTGCTTATGTAAAAGAATCACAAAACGTGGCTTTTCTGCTCAACAGTTTCTAAGTGTGTTGCACATAGATGGATGGGTTTGCCCAAGAATTTGGAGAGGACTGGAACATACGAGGGAGGAAAGAAAGCACAGTGGGCCAAGGTTTGTGGACTTGTGGTATGTTCAGGCAGCAGATGAATCCAAGTCCATGTCATAAAACATTCCAATTTATGTGTTCCCCCCCTCTTTGTTAAACGTGTATTTTTGTGCATAAAGTAAGCATATACAAATATGACCTAGATTAAAACCAGACAAAATTGACAGTGGCAAACAATGAACAACTTTAGATGTGGGTATAAGGAGTTGAATGAATGTATGCTTGGATTTTGGACTCAAATCTCTTACATAATGGTATTGTCACATTGGGCAAGTTAGAAAACCTCAGTGAACAGTCTGTCATTGCTGGGAGGATGAAATGAAAACCATAAAGCATTGTTCTGACTTTTCTTATCCTTGTGGGCTGTTTGGAAACAAATTGATGAAATGTATGCAAAGGATGGAAGTGGGGAAAATATACATAGATTTGCATGTTTAGAAAGTTATTGACTTATTTCATAAAATATACAGCCCCTCATTGAATCACATTTCTTGCTGCTTATACCCTGAAATGAACATGTGCATTTGATTATCATAGTGTAAGAACTTTTAGTTCTTTCATGTTTACATCCCTTAAATAGGATGCAAGATCTACCTACATTCTCAATAGTGACTAGCATACGTTTTGTTACAAAGAAAATTAAAATGATATGCTTCTTAATTGCTTAATTACTTCCTCCACCAACAATGACAATTATTTATATTTTGGAAGAAGTTAGACTCAGGAGTGAAAACACACAGGCCTGAAAGCAGTGCATTAATTATTTTATTAATTTCTTCTTTTTACATTATGGGAAACATTCATCTATTTACAGTTATTATTATTATTTTTTGTCCACACACAATCTAGGTAAATAAGCCTATGAAATTCCAATTCATAAAGCCATAAAAATGTTCTCACCCTCCATCTGAAGGCTTTCAAATGAATCTTTTTTTTTTTTATCCAAACCAAAATAATTTTTAAAAATTACATTTGGGAATTTAGATTTGCTAGTGATTTACATTCCAGTTATTTAAAATATGCATCTAGACATGTTTTAAAAAAGAAATGGTAAATTCACAAGGATAAGGCTTAAATTAAAGTGGTAATGCACAGTAAAACATCAAGGAAACATCTATAAATAACAGAAATATAGTACAAATAAATTAGTTCTATTTACCATTTCAAATATTAAAAATCTTTAATCCATTTCTTCATCTCTCTTTACAAAAAGGTTATGTGAATTGTATGGAAACATCTGCAAAAAATATAATAAATACTCAATTTCTTTGAATGTTTTTTTTTGTTGTTTTTTGTTTTTTTGACGTGGGAGACAAACTTTTCTTTTGTATTCCCCCCTCCCCAAGAAAATGCCCAACAACTTTATACCAAAGTTAAACAAAATAAGTAAATTTTCAGGGTACATACATTTTCCATTGTGAACTAAAAAACATTACTACAAATTACATCAAAAAGAACAATGTAACAAAGGTTATGCTCATGAATGTTAGTTTAAAGGGTCAAGTGGTTAACAAGCAGCATTGCTTGGGGCCATGATTTTTAACATCAATAATTAGCTTTTTTATAAAGTGTTTGTACAATTTAAATTGTGTTAAGGAAGACAAAGGTCATGATGCCCGGTTCAAATATGAACAAGTAGGCATTCAGCTAAAAGATTTAAAATTCTTACCAAAAATATCTTATGAATATACAAATACCATTCATATAGACATGATAAATAGGCCTTCACTTGTCTCTCTTGAAAATATCCTGTGTTAAATCAGCCTCCAAATAAAAAATATTATAGGATGATCTTGAACAGTATCATTAATACATTTCTTAATCCAAACACTAACTCTACCTCAGGGCAGTGAGCTGTAGTTGTGAACGTGAATCTTCAATTGGATGCTGCTCCCTTCCTGTTAATCTGTGAGTTCCAAGTAATTTTTCAGGATTTAATGGAACCATAGGCTACCCAAGGTGGCAGTTGGCATTACTGGATGCAAACACCATGTGACTGCTCATTGCTGCTACAAAGGAAAGAAAAGGTGTATTCATTCAAAAATTGACGAATACTTGAAGGTCATAATCTCTGTATGCTCCAATTTTACAAAGCACTCAGGTGCACTGCTCACCCTAGTTAAAAGTTGGTTGATTTTCAAATAAGTTAGTAGCCCTTTTCTTGTAAACCACAGCAGTAAACATTTGCGCCCTGTTTATAAAGATAGCTCAAAGCATCAATAGCTCTGAGAGGTAGCGAATTCCCTAAGTGGTTTTACATGTTCATTAAAATATTTCTTACCAGAACCCATCACCTCTTTTAATTTCATAAACAAAATTAAATTAGCACCTGGCTATGAGAGTGTATTTTTAAAAAGCTTCTCTGGTGCAAGAGTATTTTATGCATGATTTTAAAAGTTGTTCATTTTTTTCATGGTAATTTCTAATGCTTTAGGGTGTGAGCTGGACATAAAATGCCAGTGATACTTTCTAAATGTTTTTTAACTGCTATGAGGAAGGGCACTTAATGAGAACTGCAGCTAGATACAAAGGGCATACTGCCCATTACCCGGGAAAATGCAAAGCAACATTCTCTGCCAAAAGCCTGGACTTGCTCTCAGTGTTTAGGAATCAGGACTTTCCTCCCTCCTTATGGTTGTTGATCCCTGCGGGTCACCTTCTCTTTTCTTATACCTGGAACCTCAAGATGACAGTAACAGCTCTTTGGAGTGATGCAGCATGTTTATTGGGGTAGAAATTTTATCTGATCATTTTGACATGGGGCAAAATCCTTACTGATACGATAGGATTGATCTGGTAGCATTCTGTATAGTAAGTAGCAAGAGGAGACTAAAATAGGAAATATGTCTGAAATATGAACTCCTGGGTTAAAATAGATGGATGTGTAGTATTCGAAGGGACAACAGGAAAACCCACAGTTTTCTCTGAAAACAGCTTTGCTGCTGTTGACAGCCGTTCACAAGCAAATGTGTATAATCAGGTCGGTCCACCAGGTTGGACACTCACAAATTAATAGAACCAACATTTCCCCCTTAAAAAACCACTGCACAACAACATAATATACATAGTACAAAAAAAGTGAATAAGACATTTCAGGTCTAAGTATTCTTAATAAAAAGACAAAAAAATTCCTTATGTGTTATCTGAACCCAACAGTGCTTCCTTTTTCTGTTTTGCCTTCTTCCTTTTATTGCCTTTCAGAATAGATTGATTTCCCTGAAAGATCGAATTTACAATCTTCTGCTGATTGAACGTTTGAAGCAGTGACTGATGAAAACAACAGTGAGGCAGGCTGTGCAACTGTGAGGGCCGCAGGAACCCCTGCCGCCCCCCTCAAACTACACAGCTAGGTCCCCCATCCCCGAGCTGTCTTATTGCACGCGCTGTGTGTTATTCCTTATTTCCGGTGAGATGGTGTGATTTTCTGAGGTTGGAAATAAAGTGCTCCATCTGCTTTGAAAAATAATAAACCTTTTAGGGAAAAAAAGGGAGTCCAAGCCCTAGTTTCTCTCAGGTGGAAGACTGTGGAGTCCCAAAGGATCACCCTGTGATACTGGATTTCTGAAATACCCTATGGTTTGATATTGCTGAGCTCTAGGAACAGACTAGCTTTAGAGAACCGAGGATGGCGCAGGACCTAAAGGTGCCATTTCTATACAGGTGTGTTTGGTTTTGTCAAGAAAAGAAAGGGTCGTGTATCTGTATGAGGCAGGGCGACAGCATCAGGACTGGGATCAAAGCTCGGTGAAGAACATGGGCGAATGTGTCTGGGAGCCGGGGTTTCAATTGACAACTACACCACAGCAGTGGACTTCACTCATGGGGAGAGGAGGAGAGAGGCGGAGGGCTGAGAAAGGAGAGGAGGAGAGAGGCGGACAGACGCTCGGTGGTGACGGGACGGGGCTCAGGGACAGGCCTCAGAGCCGGGTCTGCGCCTCGGGGATGTAGATCTCGATGCTCTCAGCGCTCTCGGTGGCCGAGTTCTGGCGGACGGACGCAGCGCGCTTGGCGGCCATCAGGCGCTTGCGGGCCTCCTGGCGCTGTGAGCTCTCCAGCGAGCGCTCCCGGATCAGCGGCGCGGGGCCCTTCGCCGGCTTCTTTGGCACTGGAGGAGGGACCCTTCTCTCCTGATCAAAGCAGAAGGTTCAGGACATTACACAGCTTCTCAGGACAAGCTTGGGAAAAACTGGATAGGTCAGTAGTTAGAACACATTTTTTTTTTTTTTTTTAAACTTAAAGGCGCTTACTTCTTATCTGCATCCTGTAAAAAAATTTTTTCCTCTTCATTATTCTGGCTTGGGTATTAAAAATATGAATATTCAAAATAAATTTGAAAAGATATATAGGAAAGATTAAGGGCATGAATAAGACTGGGTTGTAGAAATAGTTCTCTTCAGGGTAAGGATGTGGGGGGTTAAAGCGACCAACGTGGCAGGACTGCGCTCCCAGCACTCTGAGTGCGGTTCTCTCTGGAGACTCCACACACTTCCAGGTGCTGTAGAGGTGAGCTAGGAAAACAGCCACAGCAACATCCTAGAACTTTGCAGTCTCCTTTAAGGAGGCCATCATGGGAGCAAGTTTAGTTCAGAGTTTAAAAACATCACCACCCTCTTCCTGGGCCCACCTCGCCTCCCCCTACTCCAGACCTGAGCAACCAAACGAGTAGAAGAGATTGTCAGAGTAAATGGTTGTGTTGCTCAGATTTGTTGATGCTGTAGTGAGGTGTACCATTTGCACACCACACACCAACACACAAGCAAAATGCTATACAGGACTGGGGAGAGGAAGAGCTCTGGTATTTCCCACACTTTGGAGTGGAACACTTCCAAGATGGCGCCTCACACATCCCTAGGAACTTTGGGAATGATTGTTGGGGTCCTGAAGACAATTCCAATCACAGGGAAGAAACTGTAACACAGCACTGAAAGAGACTGTCAAGGATTGAACTGTGTGCCCCTAAAATATATGTGAACTTGACTGGCACTTATATAATGATGCAATCATCCCCCAGGATGTGATCTGATTGGCCAACCAATTAGTTGTAATGGGATTAGAGTGGGATGCAATGTTAGGGAGTTTCCCTGGGGTGTGACCTGCATCACCTTTTATCTTACAAGAGATCAAAGGAGAGAGGAGTGAGCAGAGAAGGAGGGACCTGACACCATCAAGGAATTAGAATCAGGAGCAGAGGATGGACCTGGGCTTCCTGTGCAGAAAACCTCCTAGACCCAGGGGAAGATAGATGCCAAGACACATGGAATGCCTCCTAAACCATGAGACAATAACCTTCTGTCTGTTAAAGCCATCCACTGTGGTAGAATGAAGACAGAATTTGGTACCAAAAATGAGGTGCTGCTCTAACAGACACCTACAGTGTGGTAGCAATTTTTGACTTGGGTAATTGATAAAGGCTGGAAGAGGTTTGAGGTGCCTAATCCAGCCACTGCGTGGGAGAAAGATGTGGTCGTATGCTTCCATAAAGATTTACAGCCTTGGAGACCCTATGGGGCAGTTCTACTCTGCTGTCCTAAGGGGTTGCTATAACTGTTGTTAGAACTAAGTAGATGAGTCTGGTTTTTGTTTTCATCTGGTTACTAGTAAAAATCTTCATTGCCTTGAAGAGACTATTGGTGGAGTTATGGATCTCATTGGCAATTCTAGTGAGGGCTTGGAGGGAAGTGAGAAGAGCTGTAATACTAGAGACAGTACAGATTATGAGAAGTAGTGGCACAGGATAAAAGCACCGGACTGACTGCAAGACTGATTTGAACCACAAGGTTGGCAGTTCAAATTCACCAGCTGCTTCTTGGAAACCCTAAACAGGGCTGCCATGAGTTGGAACCGACTCGATGACACTTAACAACAACATGACAAAGAAAGGGCAGCAGCAGAACTAGAAGACTGGTTCTAGATACTGTGGGGATGGGTCTACAGAATGAGAGAGCTGAATGTCTTTGGACAAGAAGCTTCCTAGTGGAGTAAGGTGCCGCTGGGCACTTGTCAATAGAATTATGCTCACCAACCATGTCCCATGGAGCAAGACAACTGAGTATCTTCAGGTCAAGGATTACTGGTATATTGGGGTGGCTCTGGGCATTTATTGGTAGAGCTAAGGAGCTTTGTAACAACTGCTTGAGTAGGACAGAGGCCCAAAGAATCAACAGGCCAGGAGGCTAAGGAAACAGGAAACAGAAGCTGAAGAGACAAGGAGCCCAGAAAGCAGAACCGTGTATATAACAAAGGGTAGGACCATGATCTCTGAGGTCTCAAAGAGTGGATCCACAGTCTGCTGGTTCACAAAGAATGGGACTATGACTTCCTAGGTTTCAAAGAGTCAGATCTTCACCAACTCAATTCTGAAGTGAGGAGCAGCTATCATAAATACCAAGGGAGATGGAACCAGAGCTGATGTCCAAAACTGAGGGGGCAGAAAAACAGAACCTGTTAGGATTGAGAAGGTGTGGCCACCACTCAATTGGACCAGAAGAATGGAGTTGGCCAAAGTCAAGGGAGCAGAGTTTTTATCCCGCTGGGTCTAAAAGGCAGAACTGAAACCCAAGATCTCCATCCAGAATCCAGAGAGCTGGTCAACCCAGATGCTGGAGGGTAAATGCCTAGATAGTCTCATAGAACAGAACATTCTTTTCAAGCCTTGAGAGCTCATGCTTTGCTGGGCCTTTTCCTTACTTGGTTACTGTTACCTCTTCTTTTCCTCAAACTGCTCCCATATGTAATATGAATATCTACCTTGTGCCTCTTCCATCTTTATAATTTGGAAGTAAATAACTTTAAATAACTTGTATTCTACATTCACAGATAAAGAGGCATTTTGTTACATAGTGGAATTTGGACTTGGAGTTGATTTAAGGCTTTTGGGATTATATGCTGAGTGTAAGTATTTTGCATGTGGTAAGGCTATGCATTTTGGGGAGTCAGAGAGTAGAATGTCATGGATTGACTTGTATCTCCCTAAAATATGTGTGAACTTTACTTCCAGTGGTTTGGCAGTTATGTAATGATGGAATCATGTGATCAGCCAATCAGCTATAAGGGAGAGGATTAGTGTGGGGTCAGCACCTTGACTCCAGTCACAGCCCTGATCTGATGTAAGGGGGACTTCCCTGGGGTATGGGCTGCATCATCTTTTATCTAACGAGATAAAGGAGACTGAAGTGAGCAAAGAAGGAGGATCCTAACTACAACCAAGAAAGAAGAACCAGGAGCAGAGGCTGTCGTTTGCACCTCGGGTCCCTGTGCTGAGAACCTTCTAGACCCAGGAAAGATTGATGCCAAGATGCATGGAGATCTCTAAGAGATACCGGACTCACAGATGTGATCTTAGTCACAGACAAGACCTTTCCCCAGAGCTGACACAGAAAGACAGCCTTCCCTAGCACTGGTACCCTGAATTCAGACTTCTAGCCTCTTAAATCCTGAGAGAGTACATTTGTTTGTTAAAGCCATTTGCTTGTGGTATTTCTGTTATAACAGCACTAAATAACTAAGACAGAATCCATCCCCTTATAAGCAGCAAACTGTAAAGTGATTAGATATTTTTAAAAGGTCATCACTTTGATAAGAAAAAAAGTACAGTGCGGCACAAATGAATCTGAACCACAAAAGGATTTTAGGAAAAGGATGTTGAATTCTCAGCCTGCAGAAAGAATCACATAAACTTGATGTTTTCATTTTAAATAAAAGAACTCGACTTCTCATAAATCTAAATGTGAATTTTGTTCTAAAACATGGGTCATCTGATTTTCCAAAAGGCATTTTCTGTGTTCACACTGCAGCTCATCACAGCAGCTCCTCTTTAGTGAGGGGGTGAAGTGCCTAGTTAAACTCATTACATCGCAGGTTCTGGTTAAGGTGGAGTCTGCTTGGCCTAAAGGAGAGAAGAGGGGAGCACCGAGTATAAACACCATTCCAACAACTCTGAGTGTTTTTGTTCAGATTCCCCCTTCGGCTTCATGGGATGCTGAAAAGCTCTGGCTAAAGACCAAAACTGGAAACTCTGTTGCTGTTGAGTCTATTCCTTCTAACAGAGAGCCCGTGCATGTCACAGCTCCACAGGGCTTTTCAAGACTGATTGTTTGGAAGTAGATTACTAGATTTTTCTTCACATGCATCTATGGGTGGTCTCGACTCTCAGTTACTAGTGGAGCACTTAACTATTGGCACCACTCAAGGACTCCATAGATAAACTTTAAAGATGTAAGAATCAAGTTTACCAAAGCAAATATCAACAGGTCACACAGTACCACCTCTTTTGGACATTTAAAAAAATCATTGTTGGAATAATGGGATATTTTAAAAAGTGTGAATACTGGAAACTTTTAAATCATATTAGCCTTTCCTGGTGGTACGTTCTATTCATAATCTTTATTTAAATCAATGAATGTGAATTTTCCAGTTCAATTTGGACCTAAATTACCAGAGTGTGTGTATACCTGCCATGCTTTCTTAAATAAAAACAATTTAAAAACTGATTTAACTAGGGTTTGAAACACAGGCTGGAGAAAACTATGTGGAGTGCAAATGGTTCATGTTTACTTCAATGCTTGACACAAAATCCCCAGTCTGATGGCCATGAACTTGGAGATGGGATTACTAATAAGAGCACTGTTCTCCTGGTCTTACGGACAGTCCCTTGGGACTGATTTCTCCTGGAAACCCATGGACTCAAGAACCTTAATATTATGGTGGGTAGCAGCAGGGTGGGTTGGATTGCTGTTTGCTCTCTGAGAGATAAGAAGACCTGAAATGGGCAGAGTCAACAATGGGTATCCCTAATTTTGAGAAGTTTCATGGAATTAATTGATCTCACACCGTAAGAAAGCAAAGAGTTAAAAAAAAAAAAAAATCATGCATGTTAAGGAGAGGACACTGGATACCTGTTTGATCCTGGCCATAGTCAAATGTGAAAATTACAGTTTATAAATGAAAGGATTTAAGTTTTTTTTCTAAACGGTTGCATGAGTAACCCAGTGAGCAATTTTCCCCAAGGCAAATCAACCCAAAGTAAAACTCTTAAAAAAAAAAAAAATCCCAACATTTATGATTACTATGAAACTTTATGTTGTATAATTTTATATTGAACAACAATAATTTCTTTATTACTATATTTATAGAATGATTATCAAAGTCAGTTCTTTCTCAGGGCTTCCTATGTTTTCTCAGAAACACACTAGGGGTGCAAGGAAGTTGCATTCTTGCTCTCTGTCACCATGCACTGAAGATGTTATTTATTTTAGTTTAAAAAGCAAAATGGAGGCAGTTCCTTCCAGTGACTAAAATGGTTTAGCTTAAACTTTAATTAACAAGAAAAGCCACATTCCCATATTCCGATTCACAAAGACAAGTTTCTCTTCAAAAAATTTGTCTGAAACATATTACAGATTATTTCCCAAATGATGACTATGTAAACATTGTCATTACAATGAAATGAGTATGGTATCAGCTCCATTTCACATTGTAAACCGCAGGAGCCTATTTAGACTGTCCAGTGTTTGTGCAGGTTTTTAAATGAACCATACAAAATCTACATTGTTCTACCTTCTTGTCAAGAGGATCCATCTGTTTCCAATTATTGGCCTTTAACTGATGAAGTTCATCAAATTTCATACTAATATTTTCTATGGACAACTGCAGCATGTCCCAAAACCCCGCCAAATCCTGGGAGGTGGGCCTTGGATGAGCATTAGGATTCTGTACAAGAGAAAGAAAAATAGTCATGCTTTAGTGGCAATCCTTGACAGTAAGCACAGGGGCAAAGTGGCGTTTTTGGTATTTCAGAGAATACAAGGGAGATGAGTTTCGTTTGATTTTCAGACAGGAGATTAAAATGAGGCTATAAATGGTAATTTTATACACTCATCTGCTTTGAATCAGTGATTCTCAAATGTCAAGGTTGGAGAACTTTTCTGTTGTGATACAAGTGTGTGGTGTGGTGGAGGTGGCTGTGTGCCACTGAGTCAGTTCTGACTCATGGTGAGTCTATATAGGGTTTCTGAGGCTATAAATCTTAATGGGAACAGAAAGTCTTACCTTTCTCCCTCCAAGTGGCTGGTAGATTCAAACTGCTGGCTACGCAGTTAGCAGCCCACCTCATACTCCACTATGCTACAGGGCTCCTTACAGTGTGGTTTGCTGCTGTTGTTGTTAAGTGTGGTTGAGTCGGTTTTGACTCATAGCAACCCTGTATAGTGTTCCTGAGGAGCGGCTGGTGAGTTTGAACCACCAATCTTGCAGTTCAAACTGATGTTATGGTCGAGTGCTTATCCTACAGCCCCATACCAGGACTCTACAGTGTGGTATGGGGGGTGGGTGGGAAAGGGACTCTAAACATTGCAAGAATCCCAGAATGCATCATCTACTACTCATGATGCATTTAAAAACATCTTATCTTAAATGAAATACCATCTTTGAAAAAAAATATAGTACATTACTATTAGAGTACATATTCGGTTACATGCCCAATATATTCAGAGAATAGATAAAAAGAATTGAAACTAAGATGAGTTTTAGTACTCATGTTCAGTGAAATAACCAAAACCCATGGCCACAGAGTCAATTCCAGCTCATAGAAATCCTATAGCGACTCTGGTGGTGCTGTGGTTACATACTCAGCTATTAGAGGAAAGATTGGCATTTCAAGCCCACCGGTGGCTCCACAGAGAAAGATGAGTCAGTATACTCTGTAAAAATAACACTTGAAAACCTTATGAAATAGTTTTACACTGACCTAAAGGGTTGCTACTCTGTTCTAAGAGGTTGCAACAGGTTCGGTTTGGATGAATAAAATGCTAGGATAAAAATATGACAAGGAGTAATAAAATAATTGGATTTCCAAAGTATTATGTGTCCAATATAATGAAGATATACATAAATTATTAATATAGCAAGTCATTTTTATCATATGACTGCAATGACAGAAACATTAGGAACTTAATTGGTTTTAAATTGACCATAATATAACAAGTGTGAGACAATACATATCTATTCAATGGTTTAACTTCAAATTTAATTAGCAAAAAAAAGTCACATTCCCATATTCTTCTGTGTTGAAGGATTTCTCCTATCCATCTATCTCTAACAAGTGTTTGTTGTTGTTTTTGTTAAGTGCCATCGAGATGGTTCCAACTCATAGAGACCTTGTGTGCTTCTGAGGCTGTAAATCTCTGTGGGAGCAAAGTGCTAGAAAGTATGAATATAGGAGTGAAATCTGAAAGCACACAAACAGGCTGAAAATACCATGTTTGCTATTAATCACTACCTGCAACAGTAGCTAAAGACGCTCATGGTGATATGGACAAGAATCTCCATGAGTCAGGGTTTTCAGCTGGGGTTAATTTTTGTTGCTTCTGGAAATCCAGATCATTGGCTAACCTGTGGAACCTCATGGTACATAGCAACTTGAGACTTGGTAGGACTTTTAAAACTAATACCTAGTAGAAACAAATATCTGAGTTTCAGAGAGTACAAAGTTGGTGGCCATCAAAGTTAATTGGTTGAAAAGAACTTTCTTGTTCCTCAGTGGACTAATATTATTGGTCTGGCGTAAAAATAAATACAAACGAAAATATATTTATAGACTTATAGTTTTAGAAATGCCTATAGTGTTCTGAAATTTACTGGAAGAAGTAGCTTCTGAAATTTATTAGTGGTTGATTCTGGGTTAAAGTTTATTCTCATGATTAGAATTGACAAGAAGGGTTCTCTGTTGTATTTTAATTTAATAAACTAAAAAAAAAAAAAAAAGTTTCTCACCATCCAGGTTCACAATAGATAGAA